GGGAGCTGCCAAAGGAGTCAGGGATCGTTCATAGAAAGAAGCATCAAGTTGTTGAAGGTAAATCAGGAAGACCATGAGAAGGGGCCAGGAGAAGAGAAATGGGGAAAGCAGTAACCCAGGAATACAGGAGGTACAAGGAGGGGAACTGGACAGAGAGGGGGGCTGGATTTGCAGAGGGCAAGAAGACACGAGTACAACTGAGACAGAGCAAGCCTCTCCATACCGACAAGACGAGTCTTGCTCTGAGGCTGGTGCCTGCCACTATAGTTAATGAAACCTCTGCACGTAAGAAAAGAAAGCATATATATACATATATACCTGGGAGTCCTGGTGGACAACAAGTTAAGCATGAGCCAGCAGTGTGCCCCTGTGGCCAAGAAGACCAATGGGATCCTGGGCTGCGTTAGGCAGAGTGTTGCCAGCAGGTGGAGGGAGGTGATCCTGCCCCTCTCCTCAGCCCTGGGGAGGCCTCACCTGGAGTGCTGTGTCCAGTTCTGGGCTCCCCAGGACAAGAGAGACATGGCACTCCTGGAGAGAGTCCAGCGGAGGGCTACCAAGATGATTAGAGGGCTGGAGCACCTCTCCTAGGAAGAAAGGCTGCGAGAGCTGGGCCTGTTGAGCCTGGAGAAGAGAAGATTGAGAGGCGATCTCATCAACGTGTACAAGTATCTGAAGGGGGAGTGTCAAGAGGATGAGGCCAGCCTCTTCTCCGTGGTGCCCAGCAACAGGACAAGAGGCAACGGGCAGAAACTGAACCACAGGAAGTTCCATCTGAACCTATGGAAAAACTTCTTGGCTGTGAGGGTGACAGAGCATTGGAACAGGCTGCCCAGAGAGGGAGTGGAGTCTCCTTCCCTGGAGATATTCAAAACCCGCCTGGACGTGATCCTGGGCAATATGCTCTAGAGGACCCTGCTTGAGCAGGGAGGTTGGACTAGATGATCTCCAGAGGTCCCTTCCAACCCAAACGATTCTGTGATTCTGTGATACACCCAAACACACCCACAAATATATTTATGAAACTAATCACCAACAACTAGAAAATTAACACCGAGGAATGTTCCAGTGTAGTAAACTTGGCTGGCCAGAAATCCATGCTGGGAAACAAAAGCCAGTTCCCAAGAAGATAGGCCAATACTGGGGAGAATTAGGCCATCACCAAGTTGGACAGCCATGAGGGGACCCTTGCTTTGGCCTTATGCGAGTGCAGCACACAACCATCGCAGCCTAGTGGGGCTCAGATCAGCATCGCACTGGGAGGAATAGCCTCCAAACGGCCCGCCGTACTCCCGAGCTGAGTGTGTGGGTCTCAGAAGTCGTCTCCCCAACTCCATCTATGTTCAAGGCTTGTTCATTTTCTTTTCCTGAATACATACATATATATATTTTTATATACGGCCTATAAAATATTAAGTCATGGTTGAGATTGCCTGCCAGCACAAAGAGCCTGGGCTGCTAAATTTCATGGCATTAACAGATGTGTTCAGTTCCAGATCTGGGATGCTAGAAATAGGGTGGGTTTTTTTTTTCTTTACTTCTTTCAACATCTCCAGCTCAGAAATTCAATTTTCCTCTAGGCTATTCACAGCCAGCTTCTGAGATTGATGTTCGTGTGTCTGATTAACTCCCATTGACTTCAGGAGATGCGCCGGTCGCTGTCATGAGCTTCCAGCTGATACTTTCCAACCAGCTCTGGGGGGAAGCAGAGCCGGAGACGTTCAGTTCACACCTGCTGGAGGAGGCATCAGCCTCCCAATCGCAGTGGCACTTTCCCAAGCATCAACCCCACCAGCAGACCGTCGCAAAAGGCACTAGGATGATCCTCTTTGTGGACACTCCAGAGACCAGACAGGTGCTGAGGGAAGCTGGGGGCTCTTTAGGGCCTAGAGAAACAGTCTTAAGGTCTGCAGAAAATAACGCATACGTTAAGAGTGAGGTGGATCTATCTTTCCAGCAAGCCGAGACTCCCAGTAGGTATTTTCGAACCAGAGGAGAGACCCCGATTTGGGTCACCACCTCTGAGCCACCACGCACCCAGAGCGGGCGAAAGGAACAGCTCCGCCGTTTCTGTTCCCTGCTCTCCCGGTTTGTCCAGCTTTTCCCCTTGCTCAGCCCCGACATGTCCCACCTGCAGGGACGGTCCCCAAAGCCACGTGCGCAGGAGGGGACAGGAGGCCCCAGGCAGGGTCAGAAGCAAGTTGAGGCTCCCCACACGTACGAGGGCTGTGACTGCTCTCCATCAGCATCCATGTCCAAGCCACCAGCACCACCAGCTCAGCCCAGGAATCGAGGCCTGATCGCAGCACCATTTCAGCCTGAAATAAAAGCAAAAAGCACATGGAAAAGTGAAAAGTCAGAGTGCTTCGTTTTGGCGTTTCCTGAAAGCAAATGTTTCAGTTTTTCATTTCCAGATAACATTTTCACAGAAAGCCGAAAGAAAGAAAATTATTCTTTCGAGTATGTGTTCCCTTTGGCCAGCAAGGCTTTTTTTTGGTTTTAATTTGTTTGGGGGGGGGGGAGAAATATATTACTTCAAATGGGCTCAAAAACAATGTCAAACCCACTTCTTTCCGCAGTCCCACTTAGGGCAGGCTACCCTGCACCGGAGACAAGAGCGGGACAGCGCAAAGGGTGTATCTGCCATCAGATGAAGCCCGAAAGCAGCACGATTTGCTCTAGAAAAAGCTGTTATCTGCAAACTCACTGGGGGATAATGTCATTTAAAGGGAATTTATCTCCCTTTAAAGCCCATGAGGCCAAACTCTCTCCTGCTTTACACCGTTTGCAAAGCAAAGGACCATCCCCTGAGCGGGTGCGGGGTTTATCTCCAGGTACCTGAGCTCTCATCAGAAGCGGTTCATATCTATGTTTCCAACCGCTTTGAGATGTGTTGCAAAACCAAGGTCCTGGGCTAATGGAAACGTCCCAAGTCGGCTCTAGCCGCAGACGGGGAAGAAAGGGCAGGCGTGAACACGTACCGAGGGGACGAAGGCTCGCTGGGTCGTGGCAGCATCCGCAGCGGTCCAGCCACCAGGGATAAACAGGACGCAAGCGCGGGTTCGCGCACGGAGATTTGGTGACATCTACAGGGCGTTTTACCGAGAAGAGACCACGGCTCATGGTCGCGCTCCATCCCAACGGCCCTAAGCAGGCCAGATCACCGCTGCTTCACTCCTGCAAGGAAAAGGAGAGTTTCAGTCCTAGCAAATAACCCCAGCCTTTTTTTTTTCTTCTCCAAAGGGAAGTGCTGCAGCTGGCCAGCCCTGGTGAGGCCTGCAGAAATTTGCTATTCCAGGGAGCCAAAGCGAGGAAGAATTCAAGGCTTGTGCAGGAGAAACCACAAAAAGAAACAGCTGCCAACGAAGGAAATGCATGTTAATGTACATGACAGCACAATTAATAATAGTAATAACCCATAAACATACCCACATGCTGGAGTGATCCCTAAGCACTTGTCTCATTCGTCAGTGGAGAAAGATCACAGGCTCAGTAGACAGCTCGCTTTTGGTGACAGAGAAGCCACCACTGTCACGAGTCTGTGGGTCCTCTTGCTGCCCTGCTCATTCCCAAGCAGGTGAGGCTCCTTGGAGCATCATCGCCTGCTCTGTCCGGTACCGAGGACACTCCTGTACCAGAGGATCCACCCCAGAGGGATCCCAAAGGTTAGATATGGGGCTGAGCAGGGTGTCGTTAGGGCTCACCGTTTCAGCAGCACGATGGCCCCCACCAGGAGCACTGGTATCTGAGTCTGGGCACAGTGTTACCAGGCGCTGAGAGCCCCTTTTGGCCCCAACCTTTAACTTTCTGAGAACACAGGGAGTTGAGATGTTTCCCCCCTTGCAAATCCTTTCCTCCCAGCATCTTCTGTTTCACATGAGGTAGAGGATGAGGCATCCCTAGCAGAGCTCATAGTGCAGGAGAGTCATCACGAGCAATGAAAATGGCCCAAAAACATCCTACCAGGAGGAACCTGTGCTTTCATCCCAGGTAGAGCCCACGGCCACCCACCAGCACAGGGGACTGCTGGGTGCCAATGCACCTTCCCTGGCAAATACCTTTCCGCAGCATCCACTGTGGCCACTTCTACGGCAGCACCGGGGGCAGCCACTGCAAGGGGGATACGGAGCAGGGATGCCTGCAGGCATCTCCTCATCGGCAGAGCCAGGCTGGGACCTTCCCGTTCTGTATTGACCCTGTCCCAGGACTCACAGTTCCCCCTCCTAAAAGGGACCCTCTCACAAGGCTGGAGCAGCAAGAGAGGGAGGGGTTAATCAGATCTTTGACCAAACCTCTTCGTCTGG